TTGATAAATAGTCAAAATTATTGTCCAATTCGTAATGATGATCGGTCAGATTTAGCCACTAACGTGGCTAAATCTAACTGATCGTCATTATGAATTGGACAATAATTTTGACTATTTATCAACGCAAGCACAATAACTTATAACGAAAGAATTGATATTGTCAATATTACAGTGTTTAGACTAAAATGAAAGTTTATTACTTATTACATATTTGTGTATGTCAGAACTAAACAAAGCACGCGATTTGGGCGCAAAATACCGTTTGCGCAGTATATTTCTAGGAAACACGTTATCATGTCGAATTTTATTTTAAGAGACTTGAAATTCTTATCGTTAAATAAGGAGAAACGACTAATTATCTGCAAACGATTTTTTTACCAAATATAAAAATATTTTTATTTCGCGCACGAGTGAATCAAAGCCAGGTCAAATACATTATCACGTGATAAAATCAAAAATTTAAATTAGCTGCATTTATTATATAAAATAACAAATTACGAAGAAAATACGTTGAAAAGCTCAATTTCCTTAGGAACAAAATTAGTACCCATATTTGAATTTATAGCGTTAGCATCATAATACCCTTGATATTGTAAATATACATTTTGACCACACATATAAAAAGTATTACCAAAATTAAATCCTTGACTATAATTTTCCATTATCGCATAACCAGGAGTTGTTACACGACTTATTTTCATGTTATTGATATCACTGTCATTTTCAAATGAGAAAATAAAACTATCTGATGTATTATGCCATCGATTACCTCCTCCATACAGCCTAAATCCTATCGGACTATATCCGCCATATATTTTTGAAGATTGATCTTTAACTAAAACTAAATATTTTGCTTGACCTCGACCAATATAATTGGTAAATGCATTGATTCCATCACGACTACTACGAAATACAAGATCGAACTTGTATTTTAAACTTGATTTATTTCGAACAGTTTTCCCGTCTTTTTTATCAATCCAATTAGCAATTACAAAAGCAAGTCTTGGCTTGATGATTTTTGATTCAATTTTACAATGACCGCAACGTGGAGGTAAAGTAGTCGTTTTCGGTAAAGTATCCTTCATATAAAATTCCATAATTTCCTCATAAATATGATGAGGAATAATAGGTTTATAAGGACGAACTTTATCAAAAAAATCTACAGAACTAATTTCTGAAAAACGAATAAGAGGAATAAATCGACTTAAAGTGCTCTTCAATGCTTCGTAATCTTTGTCGTTCCATTTAGTCTTATTGTTATCCTTGCTTCCTAAATATGGAGTCTGATTTATACCCCATTTAATTAAATAATCCCAAGCAACAGCTTCGTCGATTTGCAAGTCGTCTCGCTTAAGCAATCCATAAAGAATATCATTATCAAGTGAAGGAAACTCTTTTGAGGTGATAAATGGTTGTGGATCTGCACAGATAGAATCAAGACAATGGTCTTGTAGTTTCTTACAACTATCAAGCTTAATAACTGTATGTAGAACAAGAACAAAATTTTGCCGGACCCAAGCCGTTTGTTTTTCAATTAAATGATCTTGAACATATTTAAATAATTCCTCGAGAAGAAGTTCATCGGACGCGACTAACAGTCCAAGAATATCAGAACCTGATTGTTTGGTTAAATCCACTTCTCCTGTATAAATATATCTTTAATAATAGAAAGAAATGAAAAGATTAATTACAGTATATTAAAAGTGATGCGGCGTAGATGTTAGAAAATTTCATACTTTAGAATCATATCGAAAACGATAGGATTAACATTCGGTTTTTTAAATTCAACCATATTGTTCTTTTTAGTTACCCATTTATCCGAAAGTGCGCTTTTGAAATAAGGCGAACGAGCTCTCAAAATATCCGTGTGTGCTCGGAATTCTTTGATATTAGCATTCTCACCAGCTTTGATAATAACATTATGATCATCAGAATCATTTAACATCAAAGAAAGGTCTTTTGAAAGACTTCCATGAAATTTTGAAGCCATTTTTTTTTTTTTAAGAAAAAATAATGGAAAAAAAAAAATTGCGTGTTTATGTGCGAAAAAATGATTTATTTAGAACAATATGTTATGAAAGGGTTGTTGTAAAGGTGATTACTAATATAAACAACAAGTCATAGATATTACCCAAATTCATTAATTTTCTTTTTTTTTTTAATCGAATTCGTGTTTTATTGGCGAATTGTTTATTATTCGTTAAACGGTATTCCAGAATTTCAGATGTGGAGCTCTTATTTTAATCAAGATATTCTTCTTCATTTATCGATCTTGGGTTCTTTCATTAGCTAATTAAGTTTAAAATTATCGTTTATGCAATCATGGAGTTTCTTGTTACATAATCAAAATTGCCCCATTTTTGAAACACGCCAAAACCCGACAGTTACAGTTACACACGAACTTTTTTTTTGGCGCGAAAAAAATATATGACCTCCCTCATTAGTCCACTTCCTTTAGTCCATTTTGGGGTTACGCAAGAAAAAATATTTGGGCTTTTATTAAAAAAAAAAAAATTCTTAATGTAGAAAATACTATTCCAAAAAGAAATAGGTTTAGATCGTATTGCCCAACAAAAAAATTATTAATCTTAAGAAGACCTTTGGGAAATAATTATTTTTTTAATGGTTCTAACTAGAACAGAGAGATTTGTATAAGCAGTATGTAACAATGAAATTTTCGATTATAATTAACAAATAATTTTTACCTCACAGGATAAGCGATTATTTCTTTTGGGAGCAATTGCATTGTTGACTTTCCCTAATATTTTGGACATCAACACAATTGTCGAATGTTATGTGTTTACATGAAATGTTAATCAAAAGTGCAAAGTACAAATTAAACATTTTGGAAGGATATGTGGTAACTTACAAGTGAAAGTTAACTATGCTTTTTAATGAATTCCACAATGTCATTATCGAAGCTTTGGGAACCTTGATCAAAAATTTACCACGTATCTGTAAATTATTACATTCGAAGAAATAGAAATTGCTCACAGTATAAGTTAATTTAGGTCTTAAGTTGCGGGATAAAATGAAACAATTAAAATTGGCATCAACATGAATATAAAACATTATATAATATTATGTTTGTCATGATCGTTTACTTCTCTCAGAATTTATGAATAATAAAACTAGAATGATGGCTCAACCTTACCAGATAATTGCCGAACGACTTGGTTTAGAATTATTCGAGGCAAAACATAATTTCGGTTAACTTCACTTCTTATCTAATTGTGTAAAGTTTAAAACTTGAATTTAAAATGCTATGATTTATTTCACCTCTTTATAATTTTCGTTATTAAAAATTGTTTATTATTTAACGAGACAATAACGATTAGATTTCAAATTTAAAAAGTATATCTTTTTATTACATATTATTTCGTTATTTTTATTAAAATTACATTGCAATGTTTTTGAAATTCATAATGCGAATAATTCGTCTACTGTGTCGTAAGTTTTATTTTATTTTATCGCGCCGTTTCTGATTTGATGTCAACAAATAAATCTCATCACGTGAGAAATTTCTATATGATCTTTTTTTCTAAAAATGTTGTTCGTGTATTTTTCATTCTATATAAGAGATTTATCAAGACTAAATAAGGAAAATAAAAATATTTAGAGACAATATGTTTTGAATTATTTTATGAATGATTGTTAAAATTTTTTTTTTTAAAAAAAAATAAAAATACCATTTAATTTATAGAATCAAGTGATACAGTGGCTATAAAATCATTCCATTTTAACGCCTGCTATTACATTAATTTATTTAACTAACTTCAATTTGCTGTATAACGAAAATTCAAAGAGACTAAATTTTGTAAAATAACAAAATTATTAAAAATCATTTTTTTTTTTACATAAAATTTTTTATAAACGTAATGTATTGTAATAAAATGAAATCAATTTTTACAATTTTTATTTACATAAATTTTCAAGTGTAAATTAAACTGTGTAATTAGTTCCTTTTACATTGTTTCTTATACCAATGATGGCAAATGGTCAGATCATTTGACTATTTTGACCTTTGATTGACTATCATTTGAGGTCATTTACAATTTCAGCCAAATTTAAACATAATGCGAAGTTAAAGTCAGCTAGAATTAGAATAAGAAAAATTTTAGAAAATTAAAATGAAATTATAGATAATTTTAATATAAATTAAGGGCTACATGATATAATCTTCAAATGCTAGATCATTTGAACATTTGCAGTATAAAGAAAGAAAACTTCAAAAGATATTTTTTGAATTAATATTAAATCTAAACTTATTTTACTAAAAAAAATTATATTTAATTTATAAAGCAAAAAATTTTTACTACAAATTACCAATTTGTTATTTGATTTGAAATGATAACTTTAAATAACATTGTCTAAAAAAATAGTAGATTTATTAAGTTACATATAATTTAAGATACTGATTTTAGGTAAAACTAATATTAATGATTTATTTTTGAAAATAAAAATTCTTTTATTATTTTATTTTTTATATTATAATCCTTTTTATAAAAAATTTTTTTTAATATATTATGTAAATTAAAGTTTTTATTATATTATATAAAAGATTAAATTATTATACTATGATATTCTTTGTATTTAAAAATAAATAAAAAAACCTTTTTCATAAAAATCTTTCTATTCTTAAAAAAATGAGATTAAAAGACCATTCTTATAAATAATATATAAAATAAATTATTAAATAATTCTATATTATTCTGAAATTAAATAACTTTTTTTTTACTATAAGATTGTTTAAATTTAGATACTTTTTTTTAAATAAAAAAATTTAAAAAATAAATTATATTTAAATAATTCTTATTAATAATCATTTGTATCTCTTAAATTATAAGTATAAAATTATTTCTAAAACATTTTGAAACACTTAAAATATTTTGATATTTAATAGTTATAAAAAAATAAAATAAAATTTTTAATTGTATTATATTATGATATATCTAATGGCAGTATTTTTAAATTTTTAAAATTTATAAATTATTAATAATTTGTTTAAAAATTTACACAAAATTCACTTTAAAAAAGTAAAAAGTCTAAGTATAATTAATAAAAAATAGTTAAATAATATCACAATTTATTTTATTAAGTAAAAAATAAGTTGTTAAACTAGAAAAAATAGAATAATTAAAGTGATAAATTCTTTTAAAATTAATAAAATATGATTAATTATTAAATTAAACTAAAAAAAAAAGTGGGTAAATCAACTTAACTAAATAATAAATGAGTTGATTTTATCAAAAATATTTTTATTCAGAATCTAAAAGATTATATTATTAGATTTATTAAACAAAGTAAGTAGAAATTAGATATTTCATCTGTAATTATATAAAAAATCTGCTATAAAAAGTCTTTATAAAGATTTATCAAATGATTTAAAAATATTAAATTAAATCATTAGATTTTGCATTCATAAAAAGATGTAATTTTTCTTAATATTAAATACTTAAAATTTTATAAAAATTATTATTATAAACTGATAAATTAAAAACTTCTATTAATTTATCATCTATTATTTTAAAACTAAAAAAATATTTATGTTATCTAATATACAAAACTTTTATTTTATTTAATATAGTAAAAAAACTTTATTATTAATAATATAAGACCTTTGTAATAGAAAGGAGAATAAACAGCCAGAAAAAATCAATTTTATTTTATATATTAAATATGATTTTAGGTTAAAATATGTTCAGATTTAGCATTAACTCAATTTTTATTTTTTCAGCCATTTTTTCCTTTTCTATTCTTTTCTATTGCAAAGATCTTATATAAATAAAAAATAATTTATATTTATAGAACTGGCAATAAAGATCAAATTATGATTATTTAATATATATTATAATTATAAATTTTTTAACTTTTTATATTTTTTATTTATCTAATTTTTATATATAAAATATTTACTAATTTGTATTTTTAAAAAAAAATAGCTAACATGTGGTAAACAATTTATCTGATATTATTACTTAGTTTATAAATAGATAAATAAAAACTATTTTAATAAAAAGATATACTTCTCTATCAAAAGTTTTTGGTCAGACCATTTTTTAAAATCTTAAATTGCATTATCATACTATTTAGTGATTATAAATAGATTATTTATAACTTATTAGATCTGTTATAACCAGATGTATCTAATAATACTTGTTTTATATTCTTAGGATCAATAGATAAAAATTTATTTACAAAAGTCTTTAAATTGAAAAATGTAAATATCTATTTATCTATTAGTGATAAAGATATAAAAATACCATTATTAAATGCGTCTTATTATAATAAATCTATTAAGCTATATTTTATCTTTTAAGATCAATAAATGATAAGAAACTCTAATATTAAAATCTGAAATATCTAAGACAAATTAAATTTTATTATGTTATTTTTTTAAAATCAGAATTATCACTATAAATCTGATTAAATTTGGTAATATTTTTTCAGGCTTAACTAGAAACGTATATTATAAAAAAATAAAAAATATGATTTTATTATTTAAATTTTTTAAAAAATAGCAAATCATAAGAAACTAACTGTTTTTGAATGTGGAATAATTGTTGGACTTTATAAGGGTAATTATAGAGTTACTAACATTTCTAGTATTTTAAATATACTCAAAAGTACTTACATGAGTATCATTAAAAAATTTTGTGAAGAAGGTCTTATAAATGTTCTTTCTCATTCAGGAAGACCACTCCTGTTAAATGAACATGAAGAATAAACACTTATATGCCAAGCTAGAAAAAATTGAAAAGTTTCTATTGAAGAAATTACTGAAAGTTTAACCAACTCAGACTTACCCAAATTAGTACTAGTTTTTCTAGACGTGTATTATTTTAGTCAAAAAGAAAACCATTTGTTTCAAATAACAATAGTAAAAAGTGCTTAAAGTGGTATCATGGGCGTAAATTTTAGGATGAAGACTGGAATAATATAATTTGGAGTGATAAATCTCAGTTTTTTTTTATTTAAAACACAGGATTATTATCAATAATTTAGTAACAAATTACCCGCCACATATGCAAGTAGAAGGGGGGAATCAACTAAAAAAAATTACTTTATAGTTAAAGAAAAATGTGTCCAGACTTAACAACATTAACTCAAAAAATATTTTCTATTTCTACATTTTTTTTTTAAATGAAAAATATGATCGCAATTTCTGAAGCAGTATTGATTGCCTTATATGGCTAGATAAGGACCGATCAAAGTCTAAACTATAAATGAGTTCCGAATTTCTGCTTTCTTGCCCTTGATTTCTTACATTATACAAGCAAAGATGACGTATAAATGTATGTTAGCCGATATACTGGAAGAAAAATGTATCGTAGTTCTAAATCCCGAAAGAAATACATATATAAAGTGGAAACTACCTTCACCTCAAACTTCCAAACCTTTAATTCTAAAAAAATTTAAAACAAACTTTAATTCGTATATGATCTTTCAATTAGATTGCACTTCCGAAATTATTAAATCAAAAATTTTTATTGAAAACACTTCTGAAACGGAAACTCGTAAAGCAGCAGCTGCTATTTGGAATAGCGCCGAAGAAAGCGTTAAAACAGAATATCACAATCTTAACTTAAATATAAAAAGTTGGTTTGTGAAGAAGCAGAATGTCGTGATTTTGTCGGTTGTTTCGGTTGTGGATTGTTGTTAATACTTCTGCATTGATACTTTTGACGGTTTATTGTACTTTTTTCTTATTATCTTTTGAAAATTTGTTATTGTTCACCGTAAATAAATCATATTTTCATCCTACACAATTTAACAAATTTAAATCACTCCGACAAATTTTACGATTTCAATACCACATTTTTTCATAGATAAAAATATACAATTCATAAACATTACTAATTTATAAATTGTTTTACCCGTAAAAAAAAAAAATAGATGAGTCATCGAACTTTGATCGAAATAAACATTCACGAGTATTAAGATTTAAGGGTATTGATTCATATTTATTTATAGTCCTCTCATTCAGTTTTTTAAAAAAAATTACGTAATATGGCAACGATATAAAGAATAAATTGTATTTAAATCTATAGTTGTGATAAATAAATGAAGTCCCATTAAAATTTTATCAATCAACGATTCAATTCATGTATCTGGATTGAATTAGTTAAAGTAAAAGAGTGACAATTGAATAAAGTATTAAAAAATTTTTTGTCAAAGGAAAGGTGAGTCCAATTGAACTTTAACAATATTTTGGATAAAGCCTTTAACAGTTGAGATGTTAACGGTTCGTTCAGAGGTAAAACTGGATTGTAGACCATCTTATGATTTGTAACCGGAATTTAGACCGAAATCTAGATTGAACTTTAGATGGATTAGATTAGTAAAAAACTTTATTTAAAAAAATACTAAAAAAAATTTCTTCTTTTATTGTGATACAATTTTCAAACTAATCATAGCTCTAAGTTAAAAATCACATAAGTACGCCACACAATACAGTTTTATTTATTCGATGTACATCACACACCACAAACCGCATATAAACTGTAAATGTTATATTATAGTGAAAAGAAATTGATACAAATGCAAATCAATCGGAAAGTATAGAATTAGAGATAAGGATGTACAAGAAAGCAGACATAGAAGAGCTCTTCAGTGTCGGAGATTAAATCAGACCGAAGTTAGCATCCGGAACTGTTAATCTGCAAATTGCATCTTAAACTCCTCAGTACGAGTGACATGTATCTTTTTATAATCCTCAGCCCACAAGCACGCAACCGTACGAACTGTCGTAAAGCCCAAATCGTGCCAGACTATTACAACTTGGAGCCTTTTCCAACATTTCCTTGGTCGGCCATAGAAGGTTTTCAATATGATGCTCACAACACGTGAAATGAACTACCCACTTCTCGCCTGCGAAAGTTGATTTGCACTCGATCAAAGTGTTCTCTTAACTCTTTATTCGTTGTTGATAACAGTTCGAGAATAATAGTTGGCTGGTTATGAGAAGTCTGGCATGTGATAGGTGGCATAATTACTATGTCGCAGTAATTATGTCCATATCCTCCATTCGGAAGAGGTTTAGTCAAGTGCCATTGACCAACGACTTCTAAATTCTTTCTTTACTTAACCAATTCACCAGGATTCTATTTAATTCGGTATCGTGAACGCTTCGCGAGGAACGTTTACATAATATATACTCATATGAGCTGTTTTGTATGATAAATCGGATGCCCCTTTAAGGACACCTTTGTCAAAAAAATTAATAGCCTCATACAGGACCTTCAGGGTGTCTATGGTACCATTATTTCGCCGAAGAACAGTTGTTTTTGGGGCGTATGGATATAAAATAGGAATAACGAATTTCCGAACCAGCAAATCCATGAAAGTGGAAGTCATTTTGAACGTATGTGGTTCATCTGCATTTTCAAGGACGCCTTCACTCACCAAGAATTTAGCTAGCTTAATATCAGTGGTGGATTTAATGCCTCGAAGATTCATTAAGAGAGAACTGCAGACAGCCTCGTATTGGGAGGAAAGCAATATATCGAATTCATCGATGAAGATAATAAAGGGTTTGTCGTGTAGATTTATATTGATTTCCTTCAAGAACAAAAGGTTACTCGTTTTCAAAAAAACCTCCACTGCTCGACACTTTCTATAGAAAGTATTGATTCAGCTGAATCAACTCCAAAGATGTCTTCGACCAAAAGATCTCCAGAAGCTTTTTGTATCATTAAATGAAAGATCTTCCAAAGTCACGCTATCCAGCAAAATAGTTGTGTAATATCAATTAGTGCGATTCTGAAAATTCTTAATCAAAAAGTAAACTAACTTACTAGATGCAAACGAAACCAAATTTGTTCAGTTGTTCTATAGCTCGAAGTGATCGGGTAGATTTGCCAGAGGCGCGCGAACCATGTAACAATACATATTCTCCGCAACGAACTAGATTGATTAATCTATAGTTACTCTCAAAATCATATAAAATAAATAAATTTTTCGTTGAATATAATAAAATAAAATCAAATAAATAAATAAATAAATGAAACTTTTTCGATCATTACAAATCACATTGTATTTTCGTTGATATTAATCGTTTAAATTCACGAAACAGAATATAATTTTGATTGAACGTTTATTAGCAAATAAAAATTTTTTTTATTCGATCAGTTTTTATAGAATACTAAAGTTTGAACAAAATTTAAGTATTGGTATTCCAGTTGATCAAATAATCTGAACGCGGTTCCCGATATCTAGGTAAATAATAAGTATGAAATTATCCTTATTTGCTTAGTAATTACATAATTAACATTAATTGGTACAGAACCGTTGAAAGTGGACAAGATTCTTTTTTGCACGAACGAACGACGTTACTGCGACAATTATGAGATGATTCTATGAATCTTAAAAAAAGAGAAAAATCAAAAAATTTTTTTTAGGAAATTGAATTGGGCAGATATTTGTAACGGCAATTTAACGCCATATTAGTTCAAATATTTCCTTTTTAGTTCCAAAAAAAACCTACAGTCTGGTGCAAAAGTCTTTGGACAAATATTTTTTGATATAACTTCATAACAACTGCGCCAAATCACATGGTAA